GATATTCTATGAAGGGCATGGCCCACATTTGGCTCATTCATTCAGTAATGAGACCTGCTTCTTGGCTACTGGGGACCATGCTACTCTGAACCTGGTGTACAGAAATCTGAGTCCCTGCTTCTAATTCCTTCACACATACATGCAAAAGTGGGATAGCTGGATTCAGAAATACTTCTGCACCAAGCTTGAGGCTTCAGAAACCTCCTAGGTCCTCATCTGAGGCTACATCTCTGGGTGTGCCTAGGGCGTCTGAGAACAGACTCCCCTCAGGGACCCTTCTACCTGTCCAAGGGAAACTGGGGTCAACTTCAAGGGCAGGAGCCTGCTTGCTGTTCAGAAGATTAGCCCATGCCTGGTTGGCCTGAGGATTGACCCCATACCCACCTGCTGCCCCAAGCAAAGGTGTGGACACCCAAGCAACACACCTGCTGACCCAAAGCCATAATGGCAAGGCCCAGGAATGAGGTTCCACCAACCCCACCCATTCCCACACATAGCCACCCTGGGAACAGTTTCCTGAAGGCCCACCTGCCCAAGTCAAACATGCAAAGACACGATGCAGTGGCCAGGAAGCCAGGCCACCCTTCCAGCATCATTTATTGTATCTATGGGGCTGGTGGCATCAGGAAGCCAAAACTAGGCCTGTGGCCCAGGTGTTCTGCCCCCAGCCCTGCCCCACTTCAGCACCCAGAACAGGCCTGGCCCAGCTGGGTCTCAGGGACAAAGGAGTGCTGAGTCCCACAGGGTAGCATGGGCAGCGGGGTGGTAGTCCAGGCCAAAAGCCAAGCTCCTGGCCCAGAGGGAAGCAGCCTCCACTCCCACCCTACATGGAAGTCACACCTGGGGCCCAAAATGAGAGCTGCCTGTCAGCTCCAGCCCCAGGCTAGCTCAGCCACACCCTGACACTATCCAGGTTTGCCTTTCACAGCACAAGGGCAGGAGATTAGGGTGGGAGAGAGACAAGAAGGCTTTAAAAGGGCAAATTGTCTTCTGACTTCTACTCAGACAGCCCGCTCTGTAGCTGGTACCTAGGTGTCCCAGCCTGCCACCAACTACCAACCCGCAAACATGCAGCGAGCCCCGGTGCTTCTGCTGCTGCTGCTGAGCCTGAGACTACAGCTGGCCCATGGTGTCATCCCAGGTACGAGGTTCCCCCAGCCCCTCTCCCTGCCCCACGGGTCACCGCTCAGGCTGACCTAGCTGCACTCTCCCCTTGGCCAGTGGAGGAGGAGAATCCAGCCTTCTGGAACCAGAAAGCCTCAGAGGCCCTGGATGCCGCCAAGAAACTGAAGCCCATTCAGACCTCAGCCAAGAACCTCATCATCTTCCTGGGAGACGGTGAGTGCGCCAGGCTGGTCCACCCCATGGTGCTCACGGGCCTTGTACCCAGGGCCACTGCTGGGTACAGACCAGCCCTGGGGCTCAGGCCTGAAAGGGATCTGTTCCTTCAGGGATGGGCGTGTCCACAGTGACAGCCACCCGGATCCTAAAGGGACAGGGGCAAGGCAAGCTGGGACCCGAGACACCCCTGGCCATGGACCACTTCCCATATATGGCTCTGTCCAAGGTGAGGCCTCCTGAGCAGGGCGCTGGGGGCTGTGGCAGGGGAAGGACCCAGGAGAGATGGGGCCTAGTTTGGGGTCCAGGGCAGTGAGGACCACCCCAGGCCTAGGCCAAGGAGTAAGGTTACACAGAGGAGAGTGTCTCTGTCCCCAGACATACAACGTGGACAGACAGGTGCCAGACAGCGCTGGCACAGCCACAGCCTTCCTGTGTGGGGTCAAGGCCAACTACAAGACCATTGGCTTGAGCGCAGCCGCCCGCTTTGACCAGTGCAACACAACACGAGGCAACGAGGTCATGTCTGTGATGTACCGGGCCAAGCAAGCAGGTAGGTGTGGGGCTGCCAGTGAGAACCAGGGTAGGCCAGAAGGCTTGTGTGGCCCACCCTGACCTCTGTCACCTCCAGGGAAGTCCGTGGGAGTGGTGACCACCACCACGGTGCAGCATGCCTCGCCAGCTGGCACATATGCACACACGGTGAACCGCAACTGGTACTCAGATGCAGACATGCCAGCCTCGGCGCTGCAGGAGGGCTGCCAGGACATCGCCATGCAGCTCATCTCCAATATGGACATTGACGTGAGCACAAAGGGCAAAGGGGAGTGGTGT